TTTTAAAGACTACACTAATAAACATTTTTCTTTAGAAATAGATTTAAAAAAAAACAAACTTTTTCAGCCCAGTAATGGTGAAGAAAATCACAGAAGAGTAAATCCTTTCCCAAGTCTCTCTGTTGGTTTTGCTTTTTTGAATCCATTTAATTTGTGCTTCCTTTTTCATTGTTGTCTTCTTATTTTGTCCCAGCTTCCTTCCTTCCCTGCTGAAGCATGCCCTGAAACCATAGCTGCTTATCACACCTATGCAAAGCACAGTGAAACGTCATTAGATCTAAACATACTGCTCTAGAGCTCTGATAAAAAAGACAGAAAAGTTCAGCAGCCCCACATTATTTCACCAGATTTGGGGTTAAACTAGAAATGTCCCCATAATAACAGCTTACTGGTCTTCCATTTATTAACCGTTAATGGTCATATGCAAGGAAAACCTATGCAATTCCCCCAAACTTAGAACAGAAATTCTCTAACTTTCTCCATTTGCAGAACAGTAGTTCTGTTTGAGCCCAGATATTTGCATAAACATTAAATTTAATTTCTCTAACCTGTCACTCCACATGTGGCCCTCACCCCTCCCTCTGGAAATCACTTATTTTGGAGGGACAGCATTACTCCATTTTGTAAATAATTAGAAAAACCCTACTGTAAACTTCACTTCCTTTAAAAATGTAGGAGTTCTCATTTGCCATTTGCTGTAGTAACTTCCACATAAGCCTTTCATTTTGTCATCAGAAAACCAAAACTAAGAAGAAAATTAACAGGAAATCAACGAAACAGAGAAAGCAGCTTTCACTAAGTTCTTGCTTTTAATAGTCAAGACATCATTTATTTACATTATCTTCTTACAAGCAAAGACACTGACCTAGATGCTAGAAGATTGGGATTTTCATGAAAATCAAAATACCAAATGTAATTTTGAAGGGAAGGTAAAAACATTTCAGACTAATGCAACTCTTACAGGTGGCTCTTTCATTTTAGAAAGCTCCCTCTCATCTCTGTGGCAAAAGATGATGACAGAAATAGCCTGCCAACCATGAACTCAATGAAAACTGATGAAAACGCATCATATTCCTCTTGTAGACAGCTCTTAAACCTTGACTGTTGCCTAAAGGTTTTTTCCACACTACAGGAAAATACAAGTTTTTCACCTCTAACCCCTGCTATTAAGCACAACAGTTCTCTGCAGGATCCAGAATAAGCAGACTAATTTAAACACCATTTTTTTATACTTTCCTTTTTTTTTTTAAAAAAAAAAAAAGGATGTCTTCCTTAGAAATGGCCATCAAAACACGATCTCCCATTAAATACAGATTTGCTGTAAATGTGATGGTTTCTACTAGTAATAAACAGGTACATGTTTTTAAATGTATTAGTTCAAATCTAAACAAATAAATTGAAAATTTAAGTGATACGCTAACCTTTCTGGCAATTACTTTAAACATGACCCACGAAGAAGTGGCCTGTATTAAAATCCACCTGTTTTATAACTTCGTAGGATTATTTTATTAATGATGATGTTATACACACATTATTGATATATGTAATATGAGAACATATTACATATTGTACTACTGATTTTACCTCATATTAAGCTGAACTATCCTAGTTTTTCAGCTGCTATAACAGTTTGTGTGTTTTCAGACAATATAGTATCTTAATTTTGCTCCACTGGGAAATTTAGATTTTTTTTAATAAAACAAATGTTTCTTAATCAGTTCAAAGTGATACTAGCAGCTGTAAATCATACAATAATAGGTCAATAATTACAAAGTTAGTAAAAAGACATGGAATAGTTATGGGGTGCATTTGGGTCTTTGTAGAGCATTTTGGCTTCCTATAATAATATTGATTAGTTTCATATCAATTAATATAAGCAAAAAATATATTGTCAAGATAATAGTTCCATTAACATTTCACACCAGTTAATCCTGCAGACTAGAGGCTCACTGCTATTACAAAAGGGCTTGTGTCTTTGATACTCTCTTAAGAACAGTAATAATATGCTACATCACACTGGCTTTGGCTCTTTAACAGCAACATCCCAAAACTGAGTAAGAACATTTAAATTTGGCGTAGATGCCAGCTGGAACAGTGAGGTGCACAGGTGATTAAACAGAATCCATGCTAAAATCCACATGTCATTCTTTTCTTACTACATTAATACCACTATATTATAGATTTATTAATGCACATAGTATTACAATATCGTATATTACGTTAACGCAACATCATCTTGAACTAAAGCAAAAAAAAAATCCAGTGATTTTCAGAGAGATTTCAGTGGCTTAATCCACAATAACTGCCACAGCCATCGAGTCTAAACAGCAAACTCTCTAGCAACAGTGACCAAAAAAAAAAAAAAAAAAGGCAAGTCAGACTTTGGAGACTACTAGCCCACCAAATGACACATTTCACTTCCAATTCTAGCTGTACTCCCCAAATTTTGCAACAGCTAAGAACTTCATTTAAAAACAAAAAAAGTTAGTTTTAAAGACTAAGCAATCTCTGTCTCTTAAGGTAAGAATTCCCTGGTATAATTCTGTTTCTTCAAGGACTTTCACCCACCCACTCCTGGACTGCTGTACAGTGAAAAGTTAAAAATCTACCTGCAAAGTGAAGAGTTTCAGGGTCTAATTCCAAACAATAATTTGTAGGCAGCTTAATTAACTGAAATAAGTGTGTCTTTCTTCAAATCCCTCCTAAGTATTAAGCTCATCTTTTCAATTCCTGGTGACTGTCTTTTGAACACCAATAAGGCCCTTCTACAGTTAGCTGGTAAAAACATACACAGTAGGAAATCAGCATATTTAGTAGGCATAGAACTTAAAGGATTAAGAGATAGGATTTGTATCTATAAAGACATTTCACACACAGCTACATCATGCTAGTCAACCAGTAGCTAAAATAGTCAACCTTGCAATAGAAAAATTCCCCAAAGCCCAAAACCCCTTTACTTGACAGAAGACATTTGCCATTTAACACATAAAAAAGGAGCAATTCAAGATTCACACACACGTTTTTTAAAATACTGAACGCATACATCCAGGCAGCGTTCTCTGATGAGAACCTGTGTAATACCAAAACCAGTTAATAAGAAAATTATATTATACCCAGGAGGCCTGGCTAGTCTTCAGATTCCAGAGAAGTGATGTTTGCATCCAGCAGATCACAAATGATTACTGTTCTCTTATTTCATTAATCTCCATTTTGACTATAGCATGACTGGAAGAAAACAAGGTGAGTACCCTGGCAATTAGAGTCCAACTTGCTATTACTCATAAAGAACTCTTATTTATCAGAGAGCTTATTCACAGAAATTTGTTACAAATTAAGATTTTTATTATTAAAAGGAATTATTACAACACATTAACTACACAACAGTCTCATAAAAGACAAATATTTCATTGCATTTATACACACTCAGCTGAAAATAATCCTTAAAGTTTGCAGGGCAACTGAAACCCTCTTGTCAGAAGTTTACAAAAACAGAAAAAAGGGATGTAGAAAAAAAGGCACTACAAATGAGAGGAAAAATCTAACAAATCACATGAACAGTCACACTCTTCACCCCATATAATACAGAAGAAAAATAGGCAATGCACAGTCAGCAGCCATTACAAAGATTGACACTTCTCCAGCTAAAATTTTCCTCTATTCCACATTCATTGAAGCAACGTATTTGTAATCTAGAGGCCAGATACCAGGGAGCACAAAAATATTTCTGTATTTCTCAATATCCTTACCTTCAAAATGTTTTCTACTATGTTTATTTACCACATTAGCCAAAACTTCTAACTTTGGATCACAACTTTTACTTTGGTAAGAAAAAAAGATGAAAATAAAACTAATCTAGCCAAATCAAGAGCAAGTTCTGTCATTTGATAGCATTTACATAAAAGACCTACTAAATAACGTAACCTCTAAGTCTATATCTGTCACTTCTGATGCCTCTTCAGCTTGTTTGATGTAAGATATTGGAGAAAAGCTGCTTTTGAATCACAACTGCATGGGGAAAAACCCTTGCGTACCCACAATAGCTGAACTCAACCATTCAGATGATCAGCATGTAATGCTGGGTAAAGTCACTCAGGATGCAATTTTAAAAACTTTTTATTAATATTAATCTGTAACAAAGGAATAACACCGGCTGGCCCATCTCAAGAGGAATTTCAAAGTTTTGAGCAGGAACCTGAAAAGGTTATTCAAAGTAAGGTATCTATACGCAACATCTGGGGGAAGGAAGAAGACGAACAAGACAAGGACTATTCTAGTTACCCATTTCACCTGAAACAAACGTAACTGACCCAAAGCACTCTATTTCTCTGTATTTCCCACTTAATTTTCAAATGTGAATTGGGAAAACACGATAGTATCCTTATCCCTGTATCACACAACTTTGATAAATAAACGGATCATCTTCTAAGACAAAAGAAAACTTTCACCAAACACCAGCACATTTCACCAAAGACCAGTTCCATTTCAACCTCACATCTTTGACAAAAAATTAACCCCCTTCAAAAAGGACAAAATTTAAAGGAAGCCTACACTTGTTATACAAACAACTACAGCAAAAGCTAATCTGAATTCTTCAAAACATAAATAAGATTTCCATCGCCTTTCGCTTCAGTTCTCTTGTGCATTAAAGCTGCTAGCTCGTATGCAGGCAAGAAGTTCACCAACAGCCTAAATGAAGAATTTATAGTTCTAGCAGCAATGCTACATACTCAGCTATGTGCTCTGACACTCTGCAAAGATAACATGCATATGCAGTCCAGCTTGTTTCTAAGCAGAAGGGACTGGACTGACAATACAGGTCTATTTGCAGCTCAAAATGGGTTAGTGTTTCTTCAAGATCAGTTTTAAATCAGCATGCTCAAAAAATCCTATGCATCTATCTCAAGAGCAATGCTGCAGTCTTCTGTTTGTCAGCTATTAAGACTAAAAGCATCCTTGATCTGCACCTGAAAGGTCACGATGCAACACAACTAACTCCTTACCTGTAAGTCTGTCTTCAACCATTTGGAGTCAAACCTAGCTTGAGCAGCCAGACAAAAAGGTTCAGAAGACATGATTCCTTCTCCAGCCTTCTCTCCAGGCTGGCTGAGCAGCCCAACCTGCCACAGAATGAGAAAAATTGCAATCTAGCACATGAAATAAACCACACAAGGTTATTTTTGCTCAGACCAGGATGGCTTCCACTCGATCTTTAAAAATCTATCGTAAATAAGGACCTCCCTCGTTCACATCCCCCCGAATTGCATAAGGGGAGGAACACACATTAAGAACACTATCTGAAGTCCCTAAAACCCCACTTTCCTTCCCTACAACATTCGTGGAAGGAAGCCTCCCTTCTGCCGCACTGAGCTACCTCAGAGGCCTAACGCTGCCCCTCAGACCCATAAGTGGTGCATGAAATAAATAATTGATCGCAGATTA